AAAAAAAAGTAATTGCACAGTTTGGTTGGAAATCGCGAGACGAATGTTTTAAGCCTAATTATACCATGATTAGCCATAAGTACTACAGTAACCAACATGCGCTAATGATGGATTAATTAGGCTTGATAAATTCGTCTCACAGTTTTCAGACGAGCTATGTAATTAGTTTTTTTATTAGTATCCAAAAACCTCTTCCGATATCCCCGAAACATCTGATATGACATCAAAAATTTTATTTCGCGAACTAAACACACCCTAAATATGGACTCCTGAGTCCAGACAAATCACATCCAAAATGAAGCTGCCCTGAGGGCGTAGCAGGTAACTTTAGAAAAAATTGATAATACTATGAATTTGGTGATGCGGCAAGAGATCATCATCCTGCAGGCTTGCATACTCCACTGCTAGAGAGGTCATGCTGCAAGCTGCTAATAAAAAAATAACGCCACACTCTTTCGCAGTTTCACATCCTCCACCAAGCTTCCCTGCACGTCCTTTTTTCCAAAGTAAAATTTGGAAAATGTTAGAGCCAGAATCATATCATATACCATAGTAATCAAGTAATTAAGGTCGGGAAGGGACGACCCGCCGTTTACCTCCGGTGCGGACTCGTTGCGGGAGGAATGGCAGAGCAAGCAGACGCACGGAGACGGAGACGGCGCGGACCAGGCTCGGCTCAGCTCCGGCGGTTGCTGCGCGGGGAGACCAGCCTCGGTAGCAAGGACGAAGAATGCACTGGGGGTTGAAGGGGAGCGGTGTCTCGAATCTCGAGGAGTCCGCCGCCGGGAACAAGCTGCACCGGAGGAAGAGCCGAGACGAGGCGAAGCAAGAGGGACGCAGAAGCGCCGGCCTGGCCGCCGCCGAGGTTAGGCTAATTGGGCCAGGCTGTATGTAGTTGGGGTGTTATCGACTCTTTTTTTTTCTAACAACAGGGTGTTATCGACTTTGTGTAGCTAATGTCCATTAGCGGCCTCTTGTACATGTGCATTGATGATGAACATATAATGTGTGTTGCATCACTCTCTGTTTTTATCTCCTACACTACATGGTATCAGCTTAATGTTGATCCTCCTGCCTTCCGTTGCAACCCCTTCCTTCGCTGGCATGATCTCCTCCACCTCCTCCTGGTCCGGCGATGGCGCCACCACTCCTGACAGCACCTCTTCCCCGGTGCATGTCGTCACCAACTCAGATCCCACTGATCAACACCAAGACCCACGTCCTCATGGTTCTTGATCTGGCCGAGGCCAACTATGGTCATTGGAGCCAGAATGATTTTGCCATTGTCTTCTTCTGGCTCTACTCCATCATCTTCGCCGGGATCCTGCTCACCGTCTCCAAGATCTAGCTGACAGCCTATGGAAGGACATCAGGGCTCTCTTCTACAACAACAAGCGTCTGCGTTGGTGCGTACGTAATTTCGCAGTCTTTATCAGGGTGATATGACTGTGCTTCAATATTGCACCAAGATGAAGACCCTTGCTAATCGCCTCCGGGACCTCGGTTCTCCTGTCTCTAATCCTTGTCCTCAACCTCCTTTGCAGACTCGATCGACCTGCGGCTTCGGCCTTGTTTAGTTGACCAAATTTTGGAAATTTGGCTACCGTAGCACTTTTGTTTTTATTTGGCAATTAATGTTCAATCATGGACTAATTAGGCTTAAAACGTTCGTTTTGTAATTTTCAACCAAACTGTGTAATTTTTTTTTCGTCTACATTTAATGCTTCATGCACGTATCGTAAGATTTGATGTAATAACTACTGTAGCACTTTTTGATAAAACTCTCTTAAACTAAACGTGGCCTTCATGGCATATTGGCATCATCCCCAGGCTCTCACTCCCAGGCGTACTGGCGTAGTGACTAGCAGGTTGCCAAGAAATGCTGCCAACACATGTGGACTTCATGACCCTAGAAACACGCACTGCAAGTTGACTGATGTCAACTGGCTCTTGCTTCACTGTAACTGTCAGTAATTTTTTTTCTCGACCGAGGTACGTTTTTCACTAAAAGAGGAGGTAGAGTTTTCGAAAAAGGTTACAAAAGCAGTAAAGCGAGGGTTACCGCACCGCAGTGGCGTAGCCATGATTTCTATGGTTGTCCATTGTCTAAATTTTTTTTAATGCTATACCAATTTGATAAGTAAATAGAACCAATGATAAACTTTATCGCTCTTTGTTTCAACAATTCTCCAAGAGAATTATATAATGTTTCAATATATATCCAATACTGCAAAAAATCATATATTGAAATAAAATAAATCAGTGTTGCACTTGCAAAAAAAAAACAGTTTTGCATACCCTATGGCTTGTGCACTTTTCCTGTTTGACTGTCTATGCAGATCGCAGATCACCGAACGGATCATATATTGAAATTGAAGAAACTAAAAGGAAAAGAAGAAACGTATGTACTTGTGACTAAAGGAGAACAGGGATATATCATAGACGTTGGCTCAGCAGCCAGCAGGATTTAACGTTGGCTCAGCAATTCAGTCTTGGAGTCGCTAGGATTCAGAGTACCTGCTGGGCTGCTGCTTTGTGTTTGCCGTCGTGGAGATGCCGATGTCAGAGTCCGATGGGCGATGGCCGACTGGTGCTCGCCGCCGGTAGCAGTTGCATCGCGGCCGTCCACCGATCCCAGTACCCCACGATTGCACCGCACACCACGCGAAAGAAGGAAAGCAAACAATACGATTGGAGACGAACTGACGGCGGCAGCCGGAAGATCCTGAGCGACTGAGCGAGTCCTAACTCTACCTATGGGCTTTGGTTGAGCCGAGCGCAGGGTGGTCCACGGCCCACAGGGACCACCCTGTAGCTCCGCCCCTGCCGCACCGAAGAAAAGAAAAACCGATTACACCTTAGGAGACTATGAAAATAGAATATTTGGCGACGCTGGAAGCAACGAGCGCAAATCGTCTGAACCCGGCAAGGTCCCAAACTCTACACTCCTCGGCAATTCCTTGCACAAGCGATTGCACCGACCGCGACTGGTTGTTGAAGGTCCTCTCGTTCCTTTGTTTCCACAGCATCCAAGCGACTACCGCCAGTTCGCTTGCATACACATTTCCAGTGCCCAGGGGCCAGGCCCACGCATCAGCATCAGGTGTCACAGACTCACAGGCGCTCCATCAGCTCTCCGGGGAACTGGGGGCTCAGCACCTCACCAACGGGTAGCCGGACGATTCTGCTACGCCAGGCACAGGCCGATCCTGCAGCCTGAAGCCATCCGCAGCTCTGAACGATCCACCACCTGCTCCCTTCCACTCAGTCGGTTGCCGCAATCAGGAACACGTTTCCTGGGCTCCTGGTGTGCCCTCCGGCAAAACTTCTTCCCTGGACCTGCTGCCAGGCACCAAACACGCCAAAATGAAAACAAAAAGGGGTCAGCTCATCAAAAACTTACTGGACGACCTGCACAAGAAAGAGGTTTTCCAAAGTTCTTGACATGCGTCCTCTCGGATTCAGTTTCTCCAGGGTTGCTAAAATGGGAAGAAATTTGAGAAATCTTACAAGAGGCCAAGAGGGGACCAATTCACTGGCTCCCGTGATTATTATTTGTGCTCAAATGGGTCTAATTACGATCTCACATCTGGATTCAGATGGAGGCAGGCTTCAACTGTCAAGCAAACCACTCAACTCTAGAACATCATGAAATGTCTAAGAAGGCAAGGAAGAAATGGATTTGCCACCCCTAACTGTTACTAAGTACTAATCAAGATGTTTAAAGCATAGTATATTCCATGCTCACTAATTTAAGGAAAGATTATAGGTTCTAAAAAATCAAACGTACCTTGCGGACCAAAATGTATAAATAGGTTAAACTCCACGGATATGGACATCTTTGGCAGATACATCTCTAGCTGATGGCTTATATTATTCTTCTCTCAAACTTCATGGCCAAAACCTAGACTGAGGGAAGACATGTCAGTCATAGGAATAGAATGGAATGCATGTAAATTAGGTGTGAATACTGTTAGTAGGAAATACAAAAATATCCATTTCACAAAATAATCTCTCTCATCTTATTCCACTCACATGTCTTCTTCAAGATGAAGCGACACTGCTTTGATGGGTTGCTTGCATGCACACTGCATCCTCCTCCTGCATGCATGTTCACACTGAATCTTTGTGCCCAGTCACAAGCTGATCCTATCCTTAAGGAGTGAAAGGAGCCTCCTGCTTATCGTGTCCTTTGTCATAAGCTAGCATGGTGGACTATTCCACAGCAGGTTAACATACATCTACAAATACTCTGTATACCTATCGAGTGTCTGATGGCAATGGGAATAACTTTGCAGCCATTCCTTATGTTATCCAAAAAAAACCACACAGTTCTTCATTGTTCCCTCTATTCTCTTCATGTTCCGCTTCCTGCACAAGAAGATTGGCAGTTATTTGCCAATCTACGACCGTGCTACCGTAGAGACAATCTCACTTGTACCTTGCGATCGGGCCTAATTTGCTCAATGTATATTTGCATGCCTCTCCAAGAATTATAGATCCATTTTCCAATTAGATTTTTCCACTCCTACGTTCATACATGTTTTGATATTTCACATTTACCAGCAATGTCCTTTTGATGCAGCTGAGCAGCTTGACTAACAAATACAGTATCTATGTTGCACTCCATGATCAAAACCTTGAACAAGAGCTATAGTTTCTGCAGTAATCTTCATATGTTCACAAGTGGACCCTTACTGCCAGTCTTTATAGCTCTATTTTGTCAAGAAATCCTTGATTTACCGAGCATGAATATCCTTTCTATTTCAATCATTGAAATGGGTCGTTTAAGTCTTTGTTCCAAGTTCTCACCAATTTGTAGGCTGTACAGCTTTAGTTGCCTAAAACCTATTGTAGGAGCACAACTTTGCAAGCCCAGCTGGTAATTTAGTGAATGCATGAAGTGAGAATGCTCAGGAATTTAAGCACTACCATCGTGCTTCACTAACCTGACTCAACAGGCCACACACTATCAAGTATCAAGACAGTTGCACCACAAATTACCAATAATCATTGCATGAGCAAACCCCACCTTCTATACAATGAAATCGAACAGCATCCCTCACAACTATTTTCCTGCTAGTGACAACTGATATGAGTTTGATAGCAACATGGCAATCATCACATATCCTGAGGTTTTTCATGATATGGATTGTTGCACCCTTAGGTGTGTGAAGAAGGCCAAAGGCTAGAGCCAATTTCTCACTATGATACATAAGGTGCTCCTCTTTTTGTTCATCCTCAATATCATGTAGGACCACTGCAAAGTTTGGAACATATCCGATAGCTTTTATCTGGTCGATCAGCTCTTCAAGTTTTTCAGTGATTTGGTCCATCTGTGGATGTACCTTCTCCTCCGATGTGAAAACATGAACATCACTTCCCACATGAATCCAACTAACACCAGGTGGCTTCCTAACGCCCCTCTCCCTCATATGCTTACGAACCTTCACAACGCCATCCCATCGGTTGGCTTTTGCACACATGTTAGAGAGTAAAACATAGGTTCCAATATCATTGGGCTCCAACTGAAGAATCTGTTCAGCTACTCGATGACCAAGACCATAATTTTTATATACCTGACAAGAACTTAGCAGTGATCGCCATGCAACAACATCTGTGCCAATGCAGTTATTCACTATGAACCTCTCAGCCTCATCTAACCGTCCAACTCTGCATAACAAACCAACCATACAAGTATAATGTTCCTTCCCAGGTGTAATTCCAACTTCCTTCATCATAGTATTCAAGTAGTAGAATGCTTCATCAACAAGACCCAACTGAGCACAAGCTGACAATACTCCAACAAAGGTGACATAAGACGGGACCACTGCTGCTGATAGCATACTGTGAAATGCTTCCATTGCTTCCTTTGCAAGGCCATGATGCGCATAGCCTGTGATCATCAAATTCCAAGAGACTACATCACGAAGTGGCATGGAAATGAAGACTCTGTGCGCATCCTCAATGCTGCCACTCTTTGAGTACATGTTCATGAGGCCATTACCGACTAGCAGATGGTCCCAATGCCCAGATTTCATAACACAGGCACCAAGGGTGTTACCAGTTCTCAAGGCTGCAAGGCCAGCACAGCTGTTGAGAGCCACAGCATAAGTGAACTCATTGGGTTGAACTCCTTCCATTTCCATGTCCAAGAACAATTGCAATGCATCTTCATACAGCTCATTTTGGTTGTAAGCAGTCATAACAGCTGTCCAAGAAACAACATTCTTTTCTGGCAGAACCTCGAATGCACGATTAGCATCATGAGCATGGTCACATTTCCCGTACATATCAACAAGTGCACTCCCCACATACACATTTAGTTCTAGCCTCTTCTTCAAAGCCTGGGCATGCACCTGAATCCCAAGCACAAAGTCCTTCATGCTAGCACAATGCCCAAGAACTGCGACATAAGACACATAATCCCATTTCTCAACCTCCCCAGTCATACTTCTCACAATCCCAAATGAACCATCCAGTTGCCCCCGATCAAGAAACCCATTTATCATTGAGTTGAATGCGAATGCATCAAAACCAGACACATTCTCAAATACCTTTGCTGCATCCTCCATGTGAGCACACTGACAGTACATATATAGCACTGCGTTGAAAACATAGCGTTGCTCAGCCAGCCCAGCCTTAACAGCATACCCATGGCACTGCCTCCCCATGTCATAGCTCCTGACATTGGCGGTTGCGGACACCGCCGCTGACAGAACGTACTCGTTCAGGCCAAAGTCGACCACCCTGAGCAGCGCGAGCGAGTCCTTATGGCGCCCCGAGGAAGCGTATCCGGACATGAGGAGGTTTCCGGAGACGGCGTTCCGGAAGGGCATTGCGTCGAACACCTTGCGGGCGAGCCCGAGACGGCCGCACTTGGCGTAGAAAGAGATGAGGTTGTTGTGCAGGACGACGTCGAAATGACCGGCTGTGATGAGCCGGGCGTGGAGCGCCTTTCCCTTGGACAGGTCGCCAGCGGCGGCCGCCGCGCGAAGGACGGCCACTGCCGCGTGCCGCTGGAGCGCGGCGCCGCAGGGTCTGGCCATGGATTGGGGCGCAGGGTTCTAGAGAGGTTTAGCGGAAAGGGGAAAACTATACAGGCCAGGCAGGGGTTTTGAGTTAAATCTGTGGCTTCGACGTCGAGATGGCGGGCCAGGGCCCATGTAAGTTTGGAGGTTCAGCCCATATGTGTATTTCAATTTTGCATTTCGGGCTAAAGCATAGATGGGTCGGAAGTCCAGTAACGGCCCTACTCACTACCCATTGCAAAGTTCAAACTGGTGCTACAAGATTTTACGCGGCATTTGACTCACCAGACGTCCTAATAGAACGTAGAAATTTCACAAGAATTCCGTAGATTTCATAAGTCTTATATACGGAGAAAGATCAATACAAATAGAACCTCACAAGAACATAAGTGCACCTGAGAAAACTATTATATTCAGTAACTCAAATTGGCAGTGGGAGCTTACAAAATATTCTGCTTGGTATCAATGCATTGCACTCTCTGACATAGCATCCACCAGAAAACTTTAACAACAAAGAGGAAGGCAAAAATATAGTATATGCATTGGAACTATTTCCACAATGCTCCTTTAAGTGGCGTCATTTGGCTAACTAGTCTTTCCAGCCATCTTTTGTCGATCTCCTCGGAGCGAGACCTTTGGACGAAGGGTTGGGCAGAGGTTTGGATGGTGTCATCGGAGCTTCCTCATCGTCCCAGTCATCTCCCCAGTTGTCGTCCCACTTATCAGACTGATGATCAGGTTCTTTCTTGCCTCCAACCGAAACCGGTAAGTCTGACATGTCTAGCTTCTGATATGCAGGTTCGCCATCTTGCTTGCGTGTCCTCCGAAGCATGATGCACACTCCCACCACAGCAAGGAGAAGAAAGATAGGCAGCAGCGTGTATGTTGATGTAAGTGGCATCCGAATAACTCTGCCAGTCTCCCTTGTGATTGCATTGTGAATGCTAATGTTACAGGAGTTTTCTGCAACTTTGAGGACTATTGTCGCCTTGTTTGCATCATCACTAACAGAAACTCTCACCTGTGTCTAAGGCAAAAACAACCACAAAAAGAGCAAGACAAAGGCTCAGTAGAGTGTTTACATTCGAACCAAATCTCCAAGATAAGCACAACAATATATTACTAAAAGCTGATAGCTCGAGATAGGTTTCATAAGTACATAAACAAGTGCAATTAAGAATGTTTTAGACAACAATAGAAAAATAAAACTAGAAACACCATCAGTATACTATCTCTGATTCCAATGGAAGTCGTTTAGGACATTGAAACAATTTCCAATATGACATTTTTACTTGCAATTATTGTAAAGGTTTACCTTTTTTATATGGAAAAAATTATATATAATGAAAGTATTTTCCATGATGAACCTAAGAACATCAATCATGTGTTGTCAGTCTATGTAGCCTTTCATGTATTGATGGATCAAGTTAAAGAAATTTGACTGATTAGAATCCTGAAACGAAGATGCGGGGATAGTAAAGATGAGGTTGATGAAGAATCGATGGAGTAATTACAAAGTTACATTACTCATTTATACCTCATTGTGATCATTTGCTTCAACATGGATGGCATCTTCAGCTAAAGTGACATAATCTGTGGCCGTGATGCTAACATCAAGTGGGTTTATGCCTCTGTTGTCCATCAGAAGTGATAGAGCTGATGAGTCTGGCCCCAACCGTAAAATGTTAGTTTACGTGGAAAACATAAACAGAGCATGGAAGAAGGAAAATGGACAGAGAAAATATGAAACAGAAAAAATCTCAGAACACATAAAGAGGACCAAAATGTTTTAAAAAAATGCTGTCAGAGCGAAAAAGGTGATGGGTCATTAAGGAAATTCTTTAGGAGGCCATACTTTTGGCCCAGATGCTGACAGCAAACTCTAAATAGTTGTCCAAATATTCCTTTGATGCTAAACTTTAGCAACGACTTAAATAAAACCAAATCTACCGAACATATGTATTTTTCTAATTGGCCTTAAAATTTGAAACCTATTTGGAAAACTGTCTGCGGTATCTGAATTAGAAATTACTACAGAATATTTTATGGATGCAAGTGCAGAACTAAAGGATACCAAAAATGAAGTTCAAATTAGAATAGTTACAATAGTAACTTTCAAAGAAGAAATGATAAGTTTGAATGTCAGATTTATGTATACTAAGAATGGTATTAGTTTAATTACGATAACACAATAACAACGAGTCCTTAAAAGAAATAAGTTGTAATTTCAAAGAGTAGAAGCTTGATAGAGACAACTAATATTTTTATATAAAAAAATGTATGGTGTGCACTGATAGATAAGGAAGAAAGACCAAACAGCTGGAAAATTACCTTCTCCAGAAACTTTCAAGCAGGCGATGAATTTCTTATTTTCAATGATACATCTATGTGATGGATCACACTCCTTGATAAGAGGATCTTCCAAGAAATCTCGTGCTTGTGAAGGCTTTGTTATGCTGTTATCTTTGTCCTTTGGCTGCGGTACCGAGTCATCTCTTCTGATGCTGGTTACTTCTGTTGAGTTATCCTTCTTATTGTTGTCACCAATATCATTGCTGACTCCTTCCTGGTGGATCACATGCTCTTTATTAGGATTAGGATTTGTCTGATCATGCTGTTCCAATTTCCCAAGGCCTGACTGTGCACTAGAGCTATCACCATTTGTTTCGGCTGGTGGCGTATCAGCACTACCCTGAATTCAAAAGGAAAGATGCATCACATAGAAGACCAACACATAGCTACAGCATCAGTTAGCCAAATGCCCCTTTGATACAGCCTGCTTGCTTATCTGAAGCTGGGTTCACTTAATAGGTGTTTCAGAACTGTCCTTGCAGTCCCCGAGGCTATCAGTATTCCCACTAGTTACTTGAATTAGCAGAATAACTATTATGTGATGCATCTATTTAGATTATCACCATCAGTATTCTCAAGCTTAACTGATGCTGCAGTTTTATACTTGAATAATGGGGCAACCTATTATGGTTACAGCATCAGTATTTCACTAGTTATAATTGAATAATGGAGCAACCTATTTGGGATCAATTAAAGTGCAAGCAGTGACTATCTGATCTGGACACATAGATTTTGTACACCAACCAACCTTATCTACATCGCGCGTTTTATGTTGATGAAAACACACTAGATCAACGTCAGTACAGCTTTTTTCAGCTAACGGGGTGCCTTAGACTCAGAGCGAAATCACACTCAGCCCAATGGCCCATACGCAGCTCCAAAACCATCCACATCACACTCCTGCGCTGAGCACATCCCACAGATCGCGTGAGCAGCGGCGCAGCTAATGAATCACCCTGCCAGCCAACTGCTTTATGCGGGGGGAGGAACACAAACCCGGCTCAACTTCGCTACGGCGAAGACGGAGAAGACGGCCACCAGGAGCAGCGCAGCGCCCCGCCGCATCGCCGTCGCCGGGGACACAACCAAGCTTGGCCCGGGCGCAACGGCCAAGCCCAACCGAGCCGGCGGCCGGGGAGATCTGGAGGGGGCGCGAGCGCGCACTCCCGGCTCCCGCCCCGCGGGGGAGCCTAGGTCGAAGAAGCGGAGCGGAGGAGACGGGCGACGAAGGCGCAGGCGAGTCCGAGGCCGGCCGACGGAGGACGTGACCTGGAGGCTGGAGGAGGGGGAGACCCGAGGTGTTGGGACTTGGGATGAGTCAGGTCAGGAGTGGCCGTCCCGCTCGTGAAGTCGTGCGCGTCGCTCGTAGTCGTAGGAACGGCGGCCAAACGCAAAACTGCCGGCTGCAGCCTGCAGGTGAGGTGGCGAGGGAGAAGAGACACGGCAACGACTCCGGCCGGAACTGGGACGGGTTTGGTTTGGTGGTGGCGGCCGGCGGGGATATTTTACCGGCGGCCTGCTCTTGGATCGAGACGGTCCAATTGGATGAATGATCGGATCGTCGATTAATTACCATCTGATCTGAATGGGATGGATGTTCATTGACTTTTTCCCTATCGAGGTGCCGCGTGTGACGACGGTGTCAGTTTGGGGATACTACTCCCATAAGGGCCTATTTGGAACCGAAATACAGAAACGAGAGAAAACATAGAAATGGAAAAGGAATATAAGTGTAAAATAGATGATTAGAAAACACAGAAATTTTGTAGAAACGGGTGTTTGGAACACATGAATACTAATAACATGAAAGTTTATTGGTTTGTGCTAAACACAGTTGTTTAGATTAAATAGGAGCTAATTACTGTGCATGCATGCAGGAGAGAGTATGTAGATTAGTGCGTGTGAGAGTGCATGAGCCATAGGAAATATTCCCATGAGGTCAGACCTCATGTTTTCTTTCCTCTAAAACTGCTGGTTTCATTGCCTTTCCTCTGGAACGGTTTGGATCTCTTCCTTTATTCCAAACACTGCTACAGTAAAAAAAATCCTATAGAAACTTGATTCCTTTGATCGTCCTATGTTTTTTCAATGAACCAAACAGAGCCTAAGTGTCGTGTTTGGTGATTTAATTTCGTAGAAAATACATGCAATATTTTTATATCTAAATAAATTTATTAAAAATAGATTTAAAGATCTTTTTAATAATACTAATTATATATCATAAATATTAATATTTTTAATATATATTTAATTAAAGTTATTTCTCGAGAAGAGAAGAAAAACGAGTCTGGTTCTCGATAATGTCTCGAGGCATTTAAATCTTTTTCACGTTGAGTGTTTTACTTTTTGTCCGTTTAGCGTTTATTTGGATCCATCAGTATCAGGGGATATGCTCTTAGGGCCTCTTTTGCAGGGCTTCTCTTCGATTCCAGCTCTAGCTCCTCCAGAGAAGCCTTCTCAAACGTTTTCATGGAGGAGCCGGCTTTTTAGTAAAAAGCAGAGGAGTCAAAAGCCGTTTTGGAGAAGCCAAATGGCTCTAGCTCCTCTAGAAGAGTCCCTCTAAAAGCTGTGCCAAACACCTCATAAAAAATAGCTAGCTAATAACTAAGAGTATCTCCAAGAGTTGTCTTTCTAAAGTTCACTCTCTAAATCACTATTTTAAGAGTCATTTGCATAAAAAATGTTTTCTATATCTTTTTACTCTCTAAAACTTTTTCTATATCTCATGTGCACTCTAGAAAGCCATTCTTATTTTCTATCTTTGGCTAGCAAAAGAAATCTGAAATAAAAGGTAGCTATATTTGAATAACCAGATAACAAAGTTGTTGGATAGTATTTTTTTATCAAAATCTCTATTTCTAGTAATTAGGAAGGATATAGAGAGTCTCTCGATGATGCTATAATAGTTGCTAATTTTTAGCAGTAGAATGTTTGGATCCACCTGCTAATAGGTATTTGGATAATGAGTTAAGGCGCATATGAACTACTAGAAAAAATGCCCGTGCGTCGCAACCAGTGTTCGCCTAAACGGCCTAAACGGCTAGTAAACGGTAAACGGTGGTAAACTGTTTTGTTTAGGGGGTAAACGAAAATTAAACCGTATAAACGTCCTAAACGGAACGAAGATAAACAACATTAAACGAGCTAAACAGCTGTTTAAACGGCTGTTTAGGAGAACGCGAGATAAATCTAGTTCAGTTTTGTATGGATAAATTTGTATACTTAAGTTTATTATATTTATAAATGTATACACTTGATATGTTAGATGCATAAATATCTATATTTGGTTCTTTTCACATTCATAAATATATATACATACCAAAATAATTGATATTTACTAGGATAAATATGTATAAATGCTAGAATACTTGATTTTTTACACACATATAATTATATGTATTTTTTTAAAGTACAAAACCGTTTAGACCGTTTAACTTCGTTTAAATACCGTGTAAACAGCCTAAACGCTAAATATATACCGTTTACCGTTTAGGAAAACATTAGTTACAACGGATAGTTATTTTCATTCTTATTAAGATGTTAACATCTTTCTCACTGTTCTTCTATCTTTGCATCCGTTGACGACAATATATATACCCTTATGCACCTACAAACACACTATTTAGTTGTTCACCTTCGTCAGATTAGTCATGTACGGGTAGGTCTATATTATGCGCGCTAGCAGTGGCGGCTCAATGTTCGTCATCTTTCTTAGCGTACAACAAATCTGCCTCTTCTTGTGTATCAATTATTTTTTATTTATATTTAGTTGAATAGGTTTGGAACAGGAGAAAAAAAGCAACGAAATTAGCAAAAAGAAGACATCCGAATAGAAAAAAGAATGGAGAAGAAATAGCATATATAGACAATGGATGGTACCCCTATGCAAGATGGATGAGGACTCACGTACGGTACCCGTGTGCGTGACAGACAACTCTCTCTTTTGCTCCCAACAGAAATTAGAACATTCACGTGGAAAAAACAGACAATGAAAAAGATTAAAAAAACAAAAAAAGGCCAAAAATAATAAGATAAGTTTGCCTAATTTATGTTTTTTCCTTTTCTATCTGGATTAGGATTAGGATTCATATTCAACTTACTCAGGATCGGAGAATATATTTGGAAAATGATTCCTAGCTATCAAAGTTATTTTAAGAACATGTGCCAAGCCATTGTCATATAAATCAAGAGAGTTTTAAAAATGGATAGACGACTTCCACATTCACGGAATTAATTAGGGGACGATGGACCGAAGAAAATGACCGGAAATTTTGTCTCTTTATTATTAGATATAGATATAGATTAGTAGCTATAAATCTGCTAATGTAACTAATAGTTAACAATCCTCCAACTAATAATTAGCAGGTCTGTTTGGATCTACTAGTACTAATTTTAGCTGCTAAATTTTAGTGTTCATTCAAGGATCCAAACAGGTCCTAACCTACCTTTGTCAACTAGTGAACTAAGAATTAGATGAAGTTAAATTAAAGTTTAATTCAACCACTAGTCTATTTGTTTAGATGAAATAGGATTAAAATTTTAGATAATTAACAATTACTAGTTCCTGGTATCCAAAGGTCGTTAGACTTAGCTTAGCTTTCCATGGCCGCCCAGGCCTCTATGGCGAGGTTCAAAATCTTGAGAAAATAAAAAAGGAAGAAAATCTTTTATATTATCTCTTATCACTTGCATAAAGTATAAATATTTATTATTATACAAATAACTATATATACGTGTGTATATATATAATAAAGTAAATATATAAATAGAGAGTTGATACACCAAAAAAGTATTATACATATCGGATACACTTCAACAGGTATGTAAGCACGTCGCTGCTGCCATGGAGCGATTTGAGAGAGGGAGAGACCGGACCAGTGGACCACACTCCTGGCGGTTGTAGTACAAGGGCTTTGCTAGCGTCCGGCCCAGACGTTCCGCGTGCGGACACCCGCGTGTTCTTTCGGTTTCGTCCCATTAAGACATCAATTATTTAGGGTGTGTTTAGTTGGGAAGGTGAAAATTTTTGGGTGTTATATTGAATGTGTCGGAAGGATGTTGGGAGGGGTTTTTGGATACTAATAAAAAAACAAATTACAGAACCCATCAAAAAACTGCGAGACGAATCAAATGATACTAATTAATCTGTCATTAGCACATGTGGGTTACTGTAGCACTTAAGGCTTTTCATGGACTAATTAGACTTAAAAGATTCGTCTCGCGATTTTGCCGAGAACTGTGCAATTAGTTTTTTTTCGTCTGCATTTAGTACTCCATGCATGTGTCCAAACATGCTATTTTACTGTAGGAGGGTAATTTTTTTTGAAACTAAACAAGGCCTTAGCAGTCGTCGATCACCCGACTCTCGTTGTTTTTTCGCATGTTGCATGTAGCTCCTGCCGTCCGCCCGCATGCTGCTGATGCTGCCGCGCCCGTTGACCTAGCCCCGCCTCACCTACTGCTACGATACGCATGCGCCTGCTGCCATGTTCGCTTCGCTTCCCACGCACGCGAGGATCACCTCTGCCTGCACCCACTTTCCGCGTCTTCTCGCGGAACACTTGTAAAATAAAAGCATTTGCTACGACGTATGTATGAAAAAGATGAAATATTTAGAACGTACTTTTGCAATATGTTTATATAGCCACTGCAATATATACAACATCCAGATAAAACACTTGCAACATACATTTGAAACAGCTAAAATATTTGAAACATACACTTGCAACATACGTATATGGCCACTGCAACATATGCAATATCTAGATAAAACACTTGCACCATACATTTGAAATAACTGAAACATTTAAAAACATACACTTACATCATATGTGTATAGCCAGTGCAACATATGCAACATTCAGATAAATTATTTGCAACATACGTTTGGAAATAGCTGAAACATTTAAAACATACACTTGCAACATATGTGTTTAGACATTGCAACACATGCAACACTAGATCTACTTTCGTAACATCCAAATAAAACATATGCAACGTACAAACGCACAAAACATACGGTTGTAACGTGTGCTCATCTACTTGTTGCCGTCCAATGGAGGCTCGTTGACGTGGAGCTCAACGCCAACGCGGAGCTCGATGCCATGACGCAAAGGTCACCCATGGTCCATGGACCTCGGCTATGCGCAACGCGAGTCCGAGCGGGAAGCGCAAGGTGCGGCGGAGTGCGAGGCGCGGGCGACGCGAGATGCGAGCAGCGCACGATATGAGTCACGAGGCACGGGTAGGAGCGCGAGTCACGAGACGCGGGTGGGGCATGCGAGACATGAGGCGTGGGGTGCGCGAGACACGGGATAGGTGAATCCATCCCATCCGACCGGATGAACGCTCAGTAGGGAGCGTTATCGATGGTACAATACAACGGCGCGCTACTCTCCGGTCTCCACTCTCCACTATATAAAACCCTATTCGTTAGGCTATCTCCAACAATAACAACCAAAATACAAGACCCATTCGTTCTTTGGGTAGCGCTATAGGCAAAAGGTTCAATACCTATTCGACATCTTCTTCAACAACAAGACTCAAAAGAGAATCCTTTCTGCAAATGGGTTTCCAAGAGAGAGGATGCCCATATTTGGGTTATGCCCCTCAGGCAACCCATATTTGGGTTGTAGGACTCCCGTATAGCTACTCTGTTGGAGGCTGATTTTGGATCTCTTACTAGCTATTTTAGATTTGGGTGATCATATGTGTTTCTTACTGGAGACCGTGTTAAAGCGGCTTAAAAAAGAATGGTGGAACCAAATTCTCGTGTGAAGTTCAAGACTTTTGTTTTTCTTACCGGAGTTCAAGATTTTTGTTTGTTTCATTCATCGCGCTTCGGCATCAAGCATTCAAGCGTCGGGTGGAGTGGATTCAGCTCAGCCGCGGTGGGAAGCCCAGCGACGCGTCGGGTTTCATCCACCGGCGGCCCGCCTGAAGATCTGGCGTGAGCTAGGAGGCCCACCTTCGGCTCGGCCCAGACCAGCTGCTCCTTCCTGTGCTAAAAGCCGCCGTGACACGTGACATGCCACCCTTTTCGCACGTGACCTCGCCGGCGAGCCGCCGGCTCCCGTTTGTCGCGAACCACGGAGTTGGTGAGCACTGAGCAAACGGCAGGTGAGAAAGCGATCCTTGCCGCCTGCCTGCCTGCCTGCCAACCTCTTTTACGTATTCTTTATCAAAAAAGAAAACCTCTTTTATTCCTCTTTAAATCCAAACACAAAAATGTTTTAATAAAACATATTAAGGCGGATGAGGTCGACCGTGTCTGGATGGCCCGCCCTAACGCTCCAGCCTCCACCGATGGGTGGTGGTTTCAGTGTGCCACATCAGATAGAGACGCCATGTAGGAGAGAGATAAAAAAGTTAATAGCGTGCAGAATGCCGGTTGTTCTTGTAGAGACACCGAGAGCCTCAGGAGATAGAACGCTAGCCTGTGAGAGGGAGAGAAAGGACTGTTGTACTATTGTCTGAGCACGGACAAAAACTGTGGTCTAGCACATTGGTGCCTGCGCTATGTGCTTGGAAGTTTGGATGTTGTCTCAAATGAATTTTGCTTATCTGTATGTCTACGTTGGTCATGCTCTAAGCTCATAACGCATGCGATGATGCAACTTTTTTTTTCGACAAGCGATGATGCAACTTAGGTATTAGGATAATGTAAGTTATGTCGTGCAACTTGCATAAGTGGTTGTGGTTGGTCAATGGATATTAGATTACTTACATTTTTTTAACATTGCTATTATTAATTGTCGTTGCCAATTGCTATCACTTACCAGATTACTCCCTCATCCACCCCCTCCACTCTCCAAAATATAGTTCTTTGATTTTCGAGAAGTCAAATAGTTTAAAATTTGATCAAATTCATACAAAATAATACTAGCATTTATGAGATTAAATCTATTTAAATTTTCTACAAATCTAGTTAACCTTTGGATTGATTTGTTTGAAGTCTATGACAAGAAGAATACTAAGAGACAGTCATTAGGCTCCCGGCCACAACCAACCACAACGAAGGTGTGGCATTAAAAATCGGTGCCTAAGTCGTGGCGCAAAAATGGCTTGAAAATGCTACTCGCGCACCTCTGCTACAAACTAAACAACACTACTAATTCTTGTGGCCACCGTGAGTTGTGCGCGTGAAACCAAACATGCTCAAGTTAAACACAAGACGCCACGAAACGCGTGTCATGAACAATAAGCCAATAATAAATGTGTGAGTTCATATTCTTTCAAAAAATGTATTATCTTGTAAGAAAGGCAGGGTTCTGGACTTCTGCCATTCATCCTGCTAGCATTATTCCCACCGAAGGAATAAAAAAGATGTTAGTAATATTAACATAATCACCCTATTCGTTTATGCTGAAATTTGACTTATGCTGATACTTATACTGAAATGTTGCGAGAGAAAAACACTTCCATGGCTACAAAGCAGGGCGTTTCACTGCAGCTTGGTCCCTATGGCTTCATGGTGCGTGCTGCTGCAAGTTTTGGATCTATCTCCCACTGTGTCTGAGCTGATCCTCAGCCGCACACTGTTATTGACACTAGCACACCTATTTTGATGGTTGGAACTTCGAAACAAGAAATGAACTGCTCATATTTCTCCAAAGACAAAGGAACGATCATGTGTCTGTGAGAGAAATTATTAGCATTCCCACTACAAAAACTAAAAAAAAATTCTGGTATTAATACACTAGCTACTGCTTGGTCCCTCCGTGCATGGTGCATGGTACTGCAAGTTTTTGATCTAGCACCCCCACGGCCCCGCCCACCCACTCACCCCGCCCCACAGTGCCTGATCCTCGGCCCCACTGTTCTTGACGAATGACGACACTGTGGCAGACGGCCAGGCACACCTATTTTGAATTTTTGATTTGACGATAATGATATCTCCACGTCGGGCCAGTGGGCCCCACCTCGCCCAACACACCCACCAATCCCGTCCAGTGCCAGCCGCCGGCTGTCTCGCTCGCCGCCGCCACTCTCTCCCGGTCCCTGAGGCGAGCCAGGTCGGCCATGGCGTTCGACAAGATCCAGGTCGCCAACCCCGTGGTCGAGATGGACGGTAAGCGAGATCCCTGTCCTGTCCTGTTCTGTCCCTCCTCAACAGATCTGCTGCGTTCCGTCGTTGCCTTGTGCCGCGTCCTCTGTTCCGATCGCGGCAGCTCCAGCCGTGGCTTTAGTCGAAGCGTCACAGGAGATCTCGTAGATCTACTAGACGAGGACCTTGGATCAGATACACTAGGCTCGCTAGTGTCCGGGATTTTGTTCACCCCGCGATTAATCAAGCTGGCCTGCTGCTTACCTTTGTTGCTGAATTTCGCTTTCAGGTGATGAGATGACCAGGGTGTTCTGGAAATCTATCAAGGACAAGGTAATCGGAACATGTCTGACTCTGTCTTCGATGTTGCTTCCCGTGCTGTTGTTCTTTGAGATAACATCTTCCCTCCCCCCGCCTACACTGGTTGCTGGGATGTTAATTTCCTGCAGCTTGTCTTCCCTTTCGTGGACCTGGACATCAAATACTTTGACCTCGGCCTTCCATACCGTGATGCTACCGATGACAAAGTCACAGTCGAGGCTGCAGAGGCCACACTCAAGTAAGAATTGCACGTTACTGTCACTTCCTTAAGAAAGTGGAAATGGAAAGCAAAGCAAAGAAAAGACTGTTGTGGCTCAATATTATTTATATCCAATCCAGATGCTCAAGTTTGTGTTTAGTTGCTTTGTCTAACAAGCTTGCTGTTTGTGGTGGAATATACATAGTTGATTCAGCCTTTTAACCTTTTTTCATAAGTCATTTAATTACTGCAAAAGACTTCCTTAAGAAAGTGAGTTTGGCTTGAATATACATAGTCGATTCAACCTTTTAACCTCATTTCATAAGTCATTTATCTGTTGATTCAGTAGTTTGGCGTTGCGGGCTATGGATATTTTGCTGCTTCGCGCACCTAGCTTATGCTCATCCATTATTGTGTAGGTACAATGTGGCTATCAAGTGTGCCACCATTACACCAGGTACATTTGGGTTATTTTGTTCTGCTGACAAGGTTTTATGACATTCTAGATTTACTGACATTGCGTCAAAATCCATGGCTGGCAGACGAAGCAAGGGTAAAGGAGTTTGGCTTGAAGGCTATGTGGAAGAGCCCGAATGGCACAATTAGGAACATTCTGAATGGTAAGATGCTGCTGCAGCCTGCAAGTGTAACACTATCCAGTCCTCGAGACTGACATTTCTATTCCTGTGCTCACTGCATGTAGGCACTGTGTTCAGAGAACCAATCATCTGCAAAAACATCCCACGGCTTGTTCCAGGTATCTAAGGAAGACCACAATCATAATCATAGCTACTCATTTATGTGATCTTGTATTCTAAACTAAACTGTTGGTGAATTCAGGGTGGACAAAGCCCATTTGCATTGGGAGGCATGCATTCGGTGATCAGTACCGGGCAACTGATGCAGTTATCAAGGGCCCCGGCAAGCTCAAATTAGTTTTTGGTATGTATCAATCACTCAGCATTTAATAACCAATGGAATGCTTATCCTATTAAACTTCCTAGTTGCAATTCATATGATGCATTTTCTAAAATTCTGTTCATCCGTTGAGCGAATCCTGTGAAGAATTGACCTCTTCCCCTTTGTCCTTTGTTTTGTTACTGATAGAGGGAAAAGAAGAGCAAGTTGAGCTGGAGGTGTTCAACTTCACTGGTGCCGGAGGAGTTGCCTTATCCATGTACAACACTGATGAGGTACAGTTGGTTCTTGCTACTGTTCCATTACTTGACATATATAATGTGCCCCTCTTGTGATTTATCATCTCAGTATTTGTGTAATTTTGCAGTCCATCCATGCCTTTGCTGAGGCTTCTATGGCCACTGCTTATGAAAAGAAATGGCCATTGTATCTTAGCACCAAAAACACTATTTTGAAGAAATATGATGGCAGGTAAGGGTCTTGCTAAACTGTTTCTCATTATTTTTCAGGTCTTACTGATGGTGCCTTTTCCCTTGCGCAGCATGTTTATCTGTGTACTTGATTTGTTTGCAGGTTCAAGGACATTTTCCAGGAGGTCTATGAAGCTGGTTGGAAAACCAAATTTGAAGCTGCCGGCATATGGTATAATTACAACTTCCATCTTTGTTTAACAAGGTCTGAGCCCCAAGGCCTTCCCTTTTCATCTGGTCTTTTGATGCTTTTAGGTATGAGCACCGCCTCATTGATGACATGGTAGCATACGCGCTTAAGAGTGAAGGAGGGTATGTCTGGGCTTGCAAGAATTATGATGGAGATGTGCAGAGCGATTTCTTAGCTCAAGGTTACAATTTGCCTGCTGCCAGTTTTTAGAATCTGGACTCAAGTTTTGAATAACGCTAGCATTTGCTTGCTCTTAGACCTTAGTTAACAAGTGATGTATTAATGATATGATTCTTTCCTTAACTGCAGGTTTTGGCTCATTGGGTTTGATGACATCGGTACTGGTAGGTCACTAAATTTGCTTTCAGTACTTGTCATGATAATTGATAAATGTCTCATCAGTCAACAGCCACATTATTACTGGTTTGGTCAAATAAGAAGAAACTGAGTGCATTTTACTTGGATGCTTCTAGACTTTGCGAGTTTTAGATTAGAGGTTTCAGAAGAGCACTGTAACCATTGTAAAACAGAATGATGCTAATCTGGTTCATGTAACCTTGTCCCAGGTGTGCCCTGATGGGAAGACGATCGAAGCTGAAGCTGCCCATGGTACTGTTACCCGTCATTACCGTGTTCATCAGAAAGGAGGTGAAACCAGTACAAACAGTATTGCCTCAATCTTTGCGTGGACAAGAGGACTTGCACACAGGTTTGTATGACCATTGAGTACAGTTCTAGTACTTCTGTGAGATGCATCAGTTCAGATTCATTCGTTATCTGGGCCTACAAATTTTGCAACTTCCAATTATCTCAGTAGCCAACCCTTCCCCTTTCTTGTGTGGTTTAGGGCAAAGCTTGATGACAATGCTAGACTACTTGACTTCACTCAGAAGCTCGAGGCTGCCTGCATTGGAGCTGTCGAGTCTGGGAAGATGACCAAGGACCTTGCCCTTCTTGTTCACGGATCTGCAAAGTATGTGACTGCAATATCCGTATTGCTGCTCCATTCAAGTGCATCTTCAGCATGCATACACTTCTTGATTTTCTACTGACTGATGTCTGTTGCAGTGTAACGAGGAGCCATTACCTGAACACCGAGGAGTTCATCGACGCTGTTGCTGATGAGCTCAGATCAAGGCTGGCGGCCAACCCAAACCTATGAAATCCTTGCTGAAGTGTGATGCTTCCTTGCACGACGATTCGAGTCATTTTTCTTATGTTGCCATTTTCTTTCCTTGTGCCACCACCCTGAAGGCCTGAACTAGGCGAATATATGCCCGATCATTACCAATGAGAGACTGCCCTAGATTCCGTGATTATGGAACTCATATACCTGATTATCTGATACATTTCAAATAAAAGGTCGTCCATACAGAATGATTGTTGTCTCTTCATCTGTGCCCGATTTCGTGCTAAAGATTGGAAATTTTTTCCCCGAAAGACCCGTTACTGGCTTTCATTGTGCTAAACATTGGAATTAGTTGTGACACTTTTCTGACACGTTCCTGCAGACTGCAGTGCCTGTAGTTCTTGATTTTGTTGCGAAGTACCGAGTAGCTTTACACATGTGACATGTCACAATTCTTTTGGCACGCACAAGCAGTGCCTGTAGACTGTAGTTCTTGACGGTGATCAGAAGAGGCCGGCGGCCCAGCCCATAAGGCACGACTGCCCAGATGGCGACCGTCGCTCTGGAGTCCAAGCTAGCCGACATTTAAAATGTGAACATCTTCCAACTTTTTTGTCAGATACGTTCTCTCTCTCAACCTCTGTGAAGGGTCTATGCTACTCCGCCACAAAACATACTTGAATTGATCCCTGCAACTTTTGTCAGGCGGAGCATTGGTAGCTTCTGCACGTACTCCCTCCGTCCCATTGAGTTTGTCGTTGGAAAACCGTGCCCCCCTCACAATCTCGCTTCCCGAGCGACAATCTTAACGGGACGGAGGGAGTAACTGTAACCTTCTGCGAAGCCACCAACAGACGAGGCATGGATCTCGTGTGGGGACATAGGCCCCGTTCACTTTGCTAAAAAGTTATGGTTGAAAATACTGTTCGCTGATTTGTTATGAGAAAAAAATAATATTCGTTCGCTGAAATAGTACAGCTCATAAGACAAGCGAACAGGGCCATAGAAGATGAGGCTAGCCACCTCAGCGTGTTGGGGCCATGCCCAACACACCATATGTAAGGCCTTGTTTAAATTCAGAGTGTAAAGTTTTAGATGTCACGTCGGATGTCATATGGAGATGTCGCATTGGGTGTTCGGATACTAATAAAAAAAACAAATTACAGAATCCGTCAATAATCCGCGAGACGAATTTATTAAGCCTAATTAACCCATCATTAGCGTATGTGTTACTATAGCACCACATTGTCAAATCATGGACTAATTAGGCTTAAAAGATTCGTCTCGTAAATTAGTCGTAAATTATGCAATTAGTTATTTTTTAGTCCATATTTAATTAATACTCCATGCATATGTGTAAATATTCGATAGGATAAGAAGTAAACTTTAGAGAAAATTAAACCAGGCCTAAGTTAGCCCCGCATATCTATGTAGGCTCATATGTCATATGAATGAGTGAGACAACTAGAAGGTGACTTTACGATTTGTCATATGGTCTCGTAGAGCTACCCATGATCTTGTAAGGCTATCTCCAACAACAATATCTAAAATACAAGATTTATTCGTTCTTTGAGTAGCGCTACAGGCAAAATGTTCAATACATATTCGGCATCTTCTCCAACAACAAGACCCAAAAGAGAATCATTTCTGCAAATGAGTTTTCAGGAGAGAGGATGCCCATATTTGGGTTGTGCCTCTCAGGCAACCCAAAATAGGTCTCCCGTATACGAACTCTGTTGGAGGCTGATTTTGGGTCTCTTGCTACCCATTTTAGGTTTGGGTGCCTATATAGGTTTCTTGTGGAAGACAGTCTAAGGGAAAATATCGAGTTGAGTTAAAAAGCGTACCGTGCAGATATAAATCTCCGTGACATTGACTGATGGATAAACTTGAGAAATGACGATTGGAGAGGGGGAAGTAACGGTGGGCCGGCCTGAGAGCAAGTACAATAGTAAGCTATAAGCTGACCGAATGCTGAGATAGAGAAGAGAGAAGAGAAGCGGGTTATAAGTTTATAGCCGACTTAGACATAAAAACCAAAAAACTTTGTAAGAGAGACAAATGAAGCCATGTATTTATAGTAAAAAGATAACTATTGTATAAGTGGGCTAAGAGAAAACCATAAAGATCCTTATGGCTGGCTTGTCAACTGTATTATTAGCCTTGCTCTGAGAGGTAAATACGTACGTGTGGCTGGGATGTGGGAATTAGAGGCTTCATCCATCAAGTACTACGTGGATGACTACTTTTTGCTAGGACCAATACTTCTGGTAGTCAGCGTTTGTCGTGTTCTAAATGTGATAGGAAGAATTATCTTTAAGTAAGTTGGAATAGATCACTAATTAGATACTAGCTATTCTAAAGTTGGAGTAAGGTAGACAACGAGAATGATAACCAAGCTTGCACGCATGTGATCCAAACAAGGAATAAAAAATGGTATAACAAGTCGAGAGGACAACGACACGAAACTACACTCCTAAACGATCCTTTCTAACACTAAGGTTAAGCACGAGGGACTAATTAAGGTAACAACATAAAAAGATGAAGGCTACACCTCTTTAATTTTTTTAGACTCTATAATAGAGTAAGATAACAAATGAGGCTAGCACTGAAGGTCCTACAAGACATCAGAAACGGATGCAGAGGACTGACACGGCTATAACCACTTGCCGCTTATCATGGATAACAGATAAAGGAACTTAGCTCTGTTAATATTGCTATCTATGGACGATCCTTATCTGAAATGACAAGAACTGTTTGCGAAGGTGTACTTTTGTACGAGTAAGCTTCACCCTCTTTTATTTTGCATTTGGTGTCAAGATAAGTGGTGAAGATATTCAAGGGTAACACGGGAATTTAACTCACATAGCTACGCGTGTTTATCCTAGAGTATCCTTAGAATTTAGTTTGTGATCGAGAGTTTTTAATCCCCGCTAGCATATTATCCACATCTATGCGTGTTTACATGTAATGAACAGCATCAAATCGGGTCATTTGATGTTGTGAATGAGGGGTGTTTGGTTTCAGGGACTAATTTTTAAGTCCCTGTCACATCGGATGTTTGGACATTAATTTAGAGTCTTAAACATAGACTAATTATAAAATTAATTACATAGATGGAGACTAATTTATCTATCTCCATCGTTTCCTAACCTTAAAGCGTCACAGAGATCTGCCGGAACGAAATTATTTGGGTTGTTAGGTCACGCATCTCGCAACTCGGAGCACCGCCCCTCCCACCACTGGTCCTCTCCCTCCCTCCTTCCGGCATAACACCGTAGGTCGGAGGGAGCGGGGATCCATCGTTTTTAATAATTTTTTTCGACAGATCGAGTCCTTAGGGTTAGGGTCTCTTTATGTCAAGTTTTTTGGTTTTGGAGATTTATCTCCTCCTCCTCTCCAGCGACGGTGAGAGGGTAAGGTGGAATCGTTTTCTCCATGGCGGCTTTGTTGAAGATGGGGGTGACAACTACGGCGTCAGCATCCTCACCAGTATGATATGGAGACTTTTATTTTCGGACGACGACAACAAGACGGAAATGGTGTCGCCGCCATAGAATAATTTTCTTCGGTCTCTTCTCCGTTTTATTGTGGTTAGATTTGGCCACGATGAAGGACTAGGGAGAATAAGTTTTAAATCGGTCTTCCTCATCCTTCGGTGGCACAAAGAAGAAGGAAGACACCAGAAAGAATAAAATTTTCAACTCCGCCTACATGAATGTTGGCCGTTGTTTGTTGGGCATCTGTTCTTAGACCTTTTGTCGAGTGTTTGCCTATGCGGTCATTCATATTGCAAAGCGTTGTACATGTTTTTGGTTTTGAGATCTAGAGCTATTCACAGCGTAGGTATAATTTAGATGAAAATCAGTTTCTGGATATTTATCTAATCTAGAGTGCTTGTAACGTGTTGATGTATCCAACTATTATATAATATAATTCTTTTTTCGTCGCAAAAAAAATATGGAGACTAATTTGCAAGACAAATCTATTAAGCCTAATTAGTTCATGATTTGACAATGTGGTGCTACAGTAAATATGTGCTAATGTTGGATTAGGCTTAATAGATTTGTCTCGTAAATTAGTCTTCATTTGTGCAATTAGTTGTATAATTAGCTCATGTTTAGTCCTTCTAATTAGCATCCGAACGTTCAATGTGGACAGAGACTAAACTTTAGTCTCTAGATCCAAACACCCCCGAATGTGCCTTCCCTCCTCAGAAACGGCCTCGCCATGGTGTGGCGATGAGCAGGTGCACGTGTGGTGTGGCACATGCATCTTTGATCTTTCCATCGCCCTGTTCGTTTGGGTTTATTTGGCTTATAAGCCGTACTTTTTTAGCCAACGAACAATATTTCTCTCACACACCAAATCAGCCAACAGTACTTTCAGCCATGGCTTATCAGCCAAACAAGCCCAAACAAATAGGGCGCATGTTCACAGAAGATGTAACAAATGCTACCCTCTTTTATATATATTAATTAATTCTCTTCTTAAATTGCCACTTGGATTTAAACACATTATTCCAAGCATTGAACATGGGCCTTAGAATTTATTGATTAATTGAAAATAAATGGGCCAAACCAACTTAAATCCAACATTCAGGTACGGTGAATGCCGTATGAAAATGGCATCCTCTTACTAAGTGAATGTTTTCTTGATATAGAACGGCGAGATGAACAGTCACAACATGGTTAATTAGGCAAGTATATGTAAAAATGTCATATTTTCTTACACTACATGTCTATATGGGTGCCGATCTAGTTTATGGATTGATAACCACTAGAATATGTTGGTTTTCTCTTTGTTTGGTTGTGTGCCTAGAATGCGTCGGTATTCTCCTCGTTTCATCGTGTGTCTGTTTAGGAAGAGGTTGGAAGTGCTTTCCAAAAATTTATATCATCTCGATGTAATTTTGTTAAGTTTTTAATAAAAACTTCCATTATTCAAAACAAAAAAAGTATTTTCTTTGTTTCAAAAGTGCAGTTTCTTGAAAGGAGATCTCTCAACAGAATAATGCTTGCGACATCAAATTT